TGGTCATCACAAAAACAAAATGATGAATGAATTTCATTACCCATCATATCAACTGGAATTCAACCTGGCTATACTTCTATTATAAACTATAATTTGTGTATTTCTAAGCCAGTCAGTTCGTGAATTCTTTTTTCTCTGTTTTTTATTTCCAGGTTTATCACCTATAAGAAATTTGATAAGAGAACATAGAGTGAACTTAAATTGTTCACGCTTATCAAATTTCTTTTCAAATATTTCTCTAAACTGCTTTCTTTAGCTTTTTAACATTTTTCATATATTGCTTCTATTATCTGGATGAGATTTAGGAACTTTTGCATGATGTACAGCTATAGCTTTTCTTTTAACTGCCATTCCCAACTCTTCTTGCTCTCTAAACTCTAGGTCTTTTTTCAGTCTTTCTTGCCTCTTCTTAATCTCTTCTAATTTTCTTTTTTCATGTTCTCTTTTAATTCCTCTTTTGTTGGTAGTTTAACTACTTCTGGATCATATTGTTCAAGATCATGACAGAGAGTTATACAGTCATCCAAGTTTTCTGTTTTAAGACATTTACCTAGACTAAGTTCTTTCTATCTTTTTTGTAGTCATGTTTCCCATGTTCTAAAATGTTCACCAGGTTTTCGGGCATTTGGGTTAATCCATTTGTCTGCCTTCTTCTAGCTAATATAGTCTCTATTCTTTTGAACAGGTTCTTGGATAGCCACTTGAACAGGGTTTTGAATATCCTCTTTAATGAGTTGTTGGTTAGCTTCTTGTAATAGTTTGCATAGATTTTTTTGCTTAAGATGCTCACAAAGTTTTTGAGATGTTGAGCATTCACTACCACAATGTTTACAGATTCTAACTTTCTTATCACTTCTTGTTTTTCTAATTATAGTGTTAGCTCTAATCATTGCACTTTTACTTGTTTATAAAATTTTTTCTTTAATTAATTAATTATTATATATGTAGAGTACATATCACTTTTCGAATTTAGTGATAAAAATAGCAGAATGATCAGTAAGTATTTTTGCTTCTATCTTAAAAATTCTGAAAAGGCTTGTGGAAGAGCTTGTATTCGCCCTGAAGGATGTTGATTCTATTGGAAAGCTAAAAAACGTATTCCTTGCTCTGATTATGGTAAACCTACCTCTTTAGCTTGTAGCCAATGCCCATTACATATTAGAGGCTATTATGTTACCCAATATTATAATAAACTTTGGACTAAGGTTTTAAACAAATCTATCAAACAGTCTCCAGACAGTTTCGAAAAAGCAGTCAGAACTCATTCTTGACTAAGAAAAAGTTGGATCAATTTTGCAAATTTCTTCTTGATTTTTACAAAGAAGTATTAGAGTTAGATTTATATGATTAATATATTAATTTATGAGCTGCTCGAAGCCAGAAAGAGTTAGTTAACAAAATTTTTTTTTTTTCAAATTTATAAGAATCATTAGACTTATTAATGGGGACAATTGTTTGACTTATAGGAATAATATACTAATTAAAGATCTAGCCCACGTAGAACCTATTCTTGACTAAGGAAAAGTTGAAACAAAAAACTCGTTAGACTTATTTAATAATTCTGCTATTTAATAAGCTAGCTCATATAGAAGCTATTTTTGTCTATAGAAAATTTTGTTAGATTTAATTAATCATGTGATTCTTAATATGCTAATTAATATTTAAATCTCTCTAGAAGCAATTTTTGAATAGTTAAAGATATTTATAAATAAATCTAATGAATCTGAAATTGTTAGACAACAAATCTAACCAAAAATTAATATAGTTTTTGGCCTTTGGGAGTTTCTAGAATATATTTCTGATATAGTTATAAATTAAACTAAAAATCAATATATTTTTGAGTTTTAAAAGCATACACAATACATTCTAGAGGGTTTAAAAATTATTAGACTTAATATATCTAACTAAAAAATTAATATAGTTTCTAGGCTTTAGAAGCCTTCAGGATTTTTTTCTAATATATAAAAATATTGATATAGTTTTTTGGCTTTAGAAGCCTCTAGAATATGATCTAATCAATATAGTTCCTAGGCTTTAGAACTCTCCAGAATTTATTCCTAATATATAAAAATATCGATATAGTTTTTAGACTTTAGAAACCCCCAGAAAATGATCCTGATATAGTAAAAGTTTAACTGTCCCAAAATCCCCAGAATGACATTGTATAAGGTATTGAGTAGGTAGTTCATTAAGAAGTATTTTAATTTTAAATAATTTGGATTGCTTAAGTTTAAAATTAGTAAAGTTGTAAGTAGATTTTTGATTATGATTGAAGTATAGCCAGGTTGAATTCCAGTTGATATGATGGGTAATGAAATTCATTCATCATTTTGTTTTTGTGATGACCA